AATAAACCAGTTAACAATCTGTACGGCCTCTTCAGTAATGAAACACGTTACAATATATATATATATATTGTAACGTGTTTCGTTACTGAAGACGCCGTAGAGATGGTTAATTGGTTTATTTAACAATCTACGAATATCGGCTACAATTACTTATCATGATATTACGGGTTTGCACACGTTACAAACCCTACAACAAAATCTCTTAACACTATCTTCAAGAGTCTTCATGTATTAATAACGCGAGAGCTATACAAGTCTCCCTGAATTACACACTCCAAATATAATTGGTTATCACGAACTGCCACTGATCCTCGCACATGCGTCTGTAGCTCGTAACTTGCGAACTGAGAACTCGTTGATAACACACTGACTCTCGCTTGCTGCTCAGCCGGCTTTTATTCCGTTCGCTGTTGCTAGTGTGACGTGGCGTATAGCCTAGCAACACTGTTACCCCTTGGTGACGTCACTGCTGTTGACTCGCTTTGCATAGCTTCAAGGTTGCGGGGACTCGGCTAACTTCGGCTCCGCTCGTGATGTCACCGCGGGGAGAGTGGCGGGGTGATGCCTTGCCTATTACCATAGTAACGCGAGCGCTACGTTACCGCCACGTACCGCCGGGGAGGTGGGTGTCCTCCCCTTGCGCAACATGTCACAGTATATATATATATTCTTTTTGTAAAAGAATGAAGTCCAAGTCAGCCTTGAACCACCCTTGTAATATGTGTATGTGCATATGTGTTTATTCCCCACATGTTGGATTTGTAGATATGGTATGGCACTTTAAGTGGTTATAATGTGATGTATTCGCTATTATTTCTTGACATGTCCAATTGTATTCACTTCAGTTATGGACGAAAATAAAGTTGAAAGTTGAATTGTTGATGTAACCAGTCTGAGCACCGCTTGCTATTACTAATGTTAACAGTCAGTCAGATGTACCACTTATTTTTCTACTTACAAGTCTCTCTTCAATTGGCCAGTGTTCATGAAATCATGGTTTCTGACCTTCACATGTTCAGGCATTTTCTTGACTACTGTTTCAGCTTTCATTATGTTGGCCAGCAAATCTCTAGGTATGAAGTGAATGAAGTAATAAGTTAAAAGTCCATGAAATTATTCTGTTAATATATCCCCTGTGGTGAGGTTTTCAGGTGATGGCTTCTGTATTAACAATCAAATAATCAGAATAGATGTTGATGCCGCTAGAGTCTAGTAGCTGACCCTCGGCTATGAGTAATGAGCTCCAGTGTGACTGAAACCACTTCATTTCAGGCAGGCACAACAAAATGTTGTAAATCATAGTCTTAAAGTATCTTGAAATTTAGTGTCTTGTTTAAGACATAATTATTGCTGCTTTTATTTATTTTTTCAAAAAAAGTTTTGTTGAATGAAAATTAAGGCAATAACAGAATCTGTGTCATTCAGAAGTGTAAATCTTTTGAAATGCAATGTCTCAATAATGAAGTGAAGTATTTTCAGTGGCATTTTTATTTTGTAGGGGTCTACTTCATGGACATTTTGAGATTTTGTATGGCAGTGTGTTTACACTAACTTACAGAAATACAGCTCATTAAAAGATATAAAATATCAGACATGCAAATAAAATAATCCATAAAAGCAGATTTACTTTGAGTGGTTCTATCATGTTACATGAAGAATTTGAATTATCAGGGTCTGAACTGTTTGAGACAGATGTTTACTAGCAGCAGAGTTAATAACTGACAAGATGGTTCACCGTATTTCATTTAAGGAGAATTTACAATTTCCACATTATTCCATATTGTAAAATGAACATAGAACCTAAAATAACTTGATGAGATTTGTGTGTTTCACATCAGTGACTATGATGAATACTATCTTCTGGGATGTGGTGATGCTGTGTAGTCTGGTGGAAGTTTACAAACCTTCCTTCAAAACACTGGTCAACTTCTGCACTTCAGCAAAACATAATGTTGCATGTTTTGTGTGTGTCACGCTACAAATAAGTTTACGCCATGTTTGATATAGCGAATTTATTCCGCTCGCTCACCTTACACACACCTTACAATCATTAACTCTTGCAGTGTTACAGTTACTGCTTACACAATATCTCAGCCAATACTGGACTGTCTTCTCTGGCAGTTTATAGCAGACTCACTCTGCGAATGCATTCAAACCTGTTTTATAACCTCGGTCGCTGCTATGCAACGAACCCTCTGTTATAACCATGGAGACTCCTGTTAGAACTACAATAGAGCGATTGTTGTTTCCTCTGCAATGGTCTGTTCTAGCGTTTCCATAGAAGTGACTCTTCTGTATTCCCGACACGTTACAATATTTTTTTTTTCAGTGATTTCTGTCTGAATAGTATAATTTTCTTTTGCAGTCAGAAAAGAACATACCAAAATTTGGAGATAATTCAGCATTATGACCTACATGATTTACCTCTTTAGAAATAGATTCAGTTGTGTACTAGTTCTTCTTTGGGCAGTTGACAATTACTCTTCCAGTCAAGAAATTCCCTCTGTTATGGAAGTGATAAGTTCAGCATCAAACTCAGTAAACCTGACAATTAGACCCTCCCTGAATCATTTTAATCTCAATTTTTAAAGATTCATTTTAACACTATCCTTCTTTCTATATTCAAGTGCTTGAAATGATCATGTTTCTAGATGTTTTCCAACTAAAATTTTATATGCTTCTGTTGTTTCCCATGTTTGTGCTACATATCCAACCATCTCTTCTTGATTTAATCACTATAAGACAATTAAAGTAAGGTGGACAATTTGTGAAGCTTCAAGAGAAGCAGGACATGTAGCACTTAATGGGGAAAAGAGGAATGCACACAGGATTTCGGTGGGAAAGTTAGAGGGAAAGAGACCACTAGGAAGACCTAGATGTGGGTGGGAGGATAACATTAGTATGGAACTTAGATAGGATGGGGTAGTATGGGCTGGATTAATCTGGCCCAGGATAGGGACCGGTGAAGGGCTGTTGTGAACATGGTAATGAACCTTTGGGTTCCATAAAATGTTGGCAAATTCTTGACTAGCTGAGCAACTGGTGGTTTCTTAAGAAGGAATCGGCTGCCTGGACTTCATATTATGTCTTCCCCCCACCCCCCATTCTTTAGTCAATTTATTTCTCTTCGGGGAAGACATTCTTCTTGAGCAGTTTGTTCTCAGATACCTGAGTCTACAGTCAGTTATTATTAATGTGAAACTGAATTTCTAATATTCATATAATTTTGATAATGGAAGAAGAAAACAACTTGTGTGTTTAAATGAGGAATATAGTGCAGAAAACTTCTAAAATCGTATGATTACTTTACAGAAACTTGTTTGGACATCATCACACATGAGGAATGGTTTGAAAAAAAATGAATTCCATCAGCACTTGCAGCAGCTGGACTTTGATGTCTGTAGCTTACCAGCCATCCATGAACTGTGTGAAATGTTCAACAGGAGCTGGGGACTGATTCAACCAGCATTTGATGTTGACAGGGACTGGTTCAGTGTTGTTGGTGTATGTACGCATATTGTAACTTTGGTTTGACAAAAATTTGTATTTATTTATTTATTTATTCATATCCATGGATCATTATACATGATATAGGACAAGTCAAATTCAAACTCAGTAATTGCCTTATTTTTGAGTCTGAATATTTAAACTTTTCTCTTATTTGCATTCAATGTGTATGTGAATAGGTCGGGCATGTGTCAGATTTGAGAGATCCAGAAGTTTTTTTAAGTTTTACTGTCAGTCCCAGCCCTTTAGGCTGTATAAGAACTGACAGGCTACTTAATAAAAACTGAATAACACTTACAAGAGGCATTTTTGTTCTCAAGGTAGGAAGCAAAGAGTGTTAAACACAAAGTATTGTGCTGTGTCTCAGCTTCTCTTTTGTAGGTTACTGTATGACAGTGTCATTATCTAGACTATATAGGTTTGAGCGGTAATGTGATTGATTGGAAAAGATTTGGAGGGAAGTAGCCATGTCCTAATGAAGATATTATCTTGGTATTTGCCTAGTGGGACAGAAAAATTTCAGTCAGGATGGCCAGTGTACTGGGTGAGATTTAAACCAAGCACATACTCTCGTCAATTGGAATGTGTTTTCACATGTATAAACTAGAAAACAAAAAAATAAAATAAAACAAACACCGTGGCCTGTAGTCTGCAAGTGAATTATACTGACAAAGTCACTGCCACTTGTTCGCGAAGTTAGTGCCAGCTTTTGTGGATAGAGGGTGTCACATGGTCAGCGCAAGGGTTCCCTATGGCCATTAATCTCGGTTTTGTACACCAGAGCTGCTATTTCTTTGAAATAGCTCCTCACTTATCCTCATGAGGCTGAGTGGAGCCTGTTCCAGACCCACTACTTCTCAGAAAATCTGGTAGTGCCGGGAATTGAACACAGGACTCCTGGATCTGTGGCCGGGTACTGACCACTAGACCACAGAGGCATTCATATATAAACTACACAAATTAGAAAGTGAACTTTGAGGCATTCAGATAGCTCTTGGCTTAATCAATTCTTTGGCAGGAAAAGGATTAACAAAACCTCAAACATCATAATTTCAGATGTATCTGTCTGAAAATATATTGTCATGGAGGCTAACAAAGAACAGCTTGAATATGCCAATTACTGATTATAGTTGAATGTCTGCATCATGGAAATATAGTAAAGAAAATATACTCATTGCAGGGTCACATTTTTTCTTGTGTGTTCAAACTTCACAAATGTAGACCTTGTAATGTCATTTCAGACATGCCATAGCTCAGATGGTTAGATCTGGATTATCACAGTAGAAGCCTGTTTTCACTTCTGGGGTGATGTCATATGTGATTCATGATGGAAAATTGCCAGTAGAACATGTCCCCCCCACTCTAGTTTCCTTGATTTTTCCCTGCTAGACATCATTCCACCATTGCTCTATACTTAATCACAACCCCCGCAGGTGTGCAGTAGCCATGACCAGGTAGCACATATCACATCCTTGACTTCTAATCTGGGGGCCTCATCTCAGGCCAGGCACTTTGCAGGTTGCATATTAATGAAGTTAAGTTTTTCAAGTTTTAATCTAAATCCACGAGGAAATTGTGGTAGTAATACAATATATTATTACTATAATCTCTCATTAGTGTTTCTTCAATAAGTACTTCATTCTGTCATCTAATTTGCATGTCATTGTCTTTTCAAAGATAAAATATGCCAAAGGAAAAAGAAAAGTGGATCAAATCCAGCAAAAGGGTCAGATGTTCTTATTATATTTGCTGCCTATTTGATTTGTTATCACAATTTCAGCCTGCACGTGGCACATTTTGGCGTGGACGAGACTGCTGTGATTGGGATTTTGGTTCCTACCCTGGACGACAGCCGTTTAATGGGGATGTAACTGCAGACTATAATTGCAATGGGATATGGGGGTTCAATCCTGTTACGGGAACACCATGGGAAGACATACTGTGTAAGGACTTCGATTCTCGAGGAATCATCTATGTAGGTGATTCTGTTGGGGCACATTTCCACTTTCCTGAATCATGGATCAACCCGTTGCTTATTTCCAAGGTGAGTGTTGTGTATTAGTTCTCTGTATTTCAAACCTCTGTATCAGCCTCATCTCAGACTTCAGTTTATTGGTTTCAGACGTTTTTGTTGGGGTTCATATTAAATGTGCACATGCACACACGTACAAAAGAAGAGATGTACCTTGTAATACCTAGTCATAGACTTCCAGTAATCTATCTTGAGGAAACAGACTGGGAAGGTTTGAAGTACCATACACGTTATTTCAAGAGATTTGAATGCATGACATTTGATTCTTTCTATGTGCATATGTGTGAACTGGTTAGGAGGGAAAGAGGTTGACAGAGGAACATAACTAGCTCCCATCAAGCGATTGTGCTTCTCAAATTTTCAGGAAACATTGCACAATTACACAGAACCATTAATGAATGAATTGGATTGGCCTCATCTTGGTTTTGCAACCGGATTTATGAACACAACTGAGCCATTGCTTATCAAGGTAGGGGGAAAAAGTCATTAAGTCTAAGATCGTTAACATAATGGTTTAATTTCTTTAGTTCATCGTAACTTCAGAATTTATAATGGATGATCTGTTTCTTAAATGGTGTCTCTGCATGTATGTGTTCACATCCATCATGTAGTCTTTCAGTATCACTAATCCACTTATTTTATCTGTTATTGCATTTCATGAAATATATGAAGTCTGTTTCATGTATTTTTATTTCATTGTCCAGTCAGTAATTGCTTTTATGTCAGGAATTTGGTTTTCTTTTTATCACCATATTGCATAGCCACACTTCACAGCCACACAGGCTGATAGAGACAGGCTTTGTTTTGTAGAATCTCTATGATAAGGAAGGAAAAGTCATACTAGTTTTTTTGGAACCCACATTTTTGTATTAGCCACCCTAATACCATGTTCATTCATTATCAAATAATTCAGACTGTTATTAATTGAAAGTCATGATCAATTCCTTCTGAGAAGGCATGGTTTTGTTTGCATTTAATGCACATAAATTGAAGTGAAATTAATTTGTAATTCAAAGTAATAATATACCTTTCCAAAAAAATAACTTCTCCATAATTCAAAACTATTACTACATAAAAAGTAGTTTACAGCTTCACAAGCAACAAGAAACATAGTCAGTCTTAAGCAGGTAATTAAAAGATTGCTTAGGAGAGTGGCTGATGGCCTGGACAGGAGGGGTGGAAGGGAAATTCTGGAAAGAGGAACCTGATATATTCCATTCTAATAACTCATGTATGAAAGGTAACATCAATAAAAAAATTTAATTTTCAAATTCTGAAGGAGGTACTCAGAGTAGTAAGGAAAACATTGTGCAGTATGTAGTGTGGTTAGGTGAGAATTGTTTTCTGCCACTGTCTCATATGTGATTTATGGTGCGGCCGCTTTGCAGCCATACGTAGCAACAGGTGAGAAGAGTTGGATAATTTTAATAAAAAAACAGTAATGAGTGAAGTTAAAAAGAATCGTTTTAAACATGATCCACATGGATTGAAGATTTAAGTTAACATTTAAATGAAAACAACAAGCTATATATTGTAGCCATGTAACCCCTTATAGTTGGTTGGTTGGTTGATTGGTTTCCAATGGCTGCATTTGGGATCAATCCATTTTGCTTCTTGCTTCCCAATAGAGAACACTCAAGTTCTTGCTCTGTTGCATCTTGAAGAAGTTTGCACTTTTCTTTTGGGAAGCTTTGCCAGGTTTGTTTTCCTTTTAATGGGTAGGTCAAGTAGACTGATATTATTGGTGAGGCACCATTTTAAAAAATTATGCATGCAAGTTTTGATCATAGAATTTTATAAAAATAAAATGTGTTAATTATGCAATGAAATGCACTGCATATTTATAGCTTAGTACCAGAGATAATACAGGGTGTCAATCAAGGAGGAAACTTCGCAACACCATTGACCAGGCCCAACATTCCTCACAGATTGCTGCTGTAACTGTAACTGTAACGGCGCTTGTTTATCAGCGCTAATGACTCATTCTGCTATCAGCAGTTACAGCAGCAATCTGTGAGGAATGTTGGACCCGGTCAGCAGTGTTGCGAAGTTTCCTCCTTAACTGAACGCGCTCTAGTTTGTATCACTTTTGAATTAAACGTTAGATAACAGTGATGCCACTCGAAAAAACTTATTTTGTGAGGACAAGGAAGGGAAGTAGCTACACTACAACTAGTTCTTTAGTGTAAAATGTGAGACCCAGATGTCAGTGACGTTTACTGTGTTATCTGTAGGGTGTTACAGATTCTTTGTACTTGAAGCTACGTTCACGAAACAGGTGCAACCATCGAGATTACCAGAACCTGTCCAAAAATGGTGCATCAAGCTATGATGGAATGACTTATGTAGAAAGCCTTGCACGGAATCACTCTACAGATAAGCCTATTCTTTTTCTGTATGGAATGTATGGCAATGATGTCTGTAACAGGTATGTAAGCTTCACAGCTTACATTACATTACACTACACCACACTACACTACACTTACTTTACATTACATTACATTCATTTCATTTTAATTCATTTTCAATACATTGCATTACATCGCATCTCCTGGATCCAGAGTTAGACAAAATGTCTGTAGGATGTGTAATATGTTATATAAATACAAAAACATGTGTACAGTACATCTGAAGTTTTCACACAAGAAAACACAGTGGTTACACAGTAGGCTATTAAAAAATACATTCAATATGTACATATATACTGTCAACTTAACGCTATTTACTCAAACTTTAAATGGGTGAGTCACTTTTTAGACAATAAGTATTCGTCAACATAGTATGAGTAGAATGAGCATTTAAACATCATTCTAGTGATATCTTAAATCATGCTTTTTCATTCAGAAGACTTTTGAAATCAGATGGCACATTATTGAAAGTGTTGATCCCAGCATAATATGTGTTTTTTTCTGAAAGCATCAGAGGTTAGCAGTTGGTTTAAGAAGAAAGTGTTCATGTCTTGTGTTAACACTCTGTCCATCTGCATTGGTCTGAGAATGATCTTCGTTATTTATAATGAAGTTTATTAATGAAAATATATATTCACATGGAAGGGTGGAAGAGTTAAGATCTCTAGTTTCTTAAACAGTTCTCTACAAGATTTGGCACCCATCATGAGTCTGACAGTTCTCTTTTCCATTGTAAATGCCTTTTTGCTGTCAGATGAATTACCCCAGAAAATTATTCCTTATTTCATTAAAGCGTGAAAGTAAGCAAAATACATTGATTTGAGAGTGTCAGTGTTGCTGATATGCAACACGGATCTAACTGCATAACACGTTCCACTTAGCTTTGGAACCAACTGATCAATATGGCCTTTCCATTTTAAATGGTTACCAATTTGTATGCCAAGGAATTTTGTGTTACTGCCTCTTTTATATTTTTATCAATATATCCAATATTTAATGGATACTGTGGTGAGTTTTTATTATAAATTTTATTGCTTTTGTTTTATCTAAATTCAGGGACAGCTTGTTTGCAGAAAACCATTTACTGAGTTGAGAGAGAACTTTGTTTGATAGTATGTAGAAATCATCTAAATTTTGACTAGAAATTATGATACTAGTGTCACCAGCAAATATTACGGATATTGATGAGTTTAGTGTAGGAGGGATGTCATTTATGTAGATTAGGAAGAGCAAAGGCCCTAAAATTGACCCTGGCGAACTAAGTGTTTTACTATTTCCTGGTTTGAGTAGGTACCCTGGGTTAAATTTGATGATTTTGTTTCATTCTTTTGTTTGCTATCTGTTAGGTAGGATCTGAACCAACTTGCTGTTGCCAAAATAATGTAATTCAGTTAATCAAATTTTGTGATTTACACGGTCAAAAGTTCTTGCCAAATCAGAATATTCCACCAACATGCATTTTTTTATTACTGCACATGGTAGCGTTGTTGGTTGAGGCACTATGATACTAGCTGGAAGTTCGCGGGTTCACGGATTTTTTCAGTTGACCTCATCCTTCCAACTGCACTGACTCAGCCTCTAACAGAAATAAGTACCAGGAATATTGTTGGAATATTTTTGGGGGTAAAGGACAGCCGGTGCGTAAGGCTGACAATCCTGCCACCATCTCTGAGCCGATTGTCTAGAATATGTGGGAACCTCAACATCTCTCAACCCTATGGGCCTCACAGGGATAGCTTTACTTTTTTTTTTATATATTTGAATACACACACTATTAGCTTAAAGGCTGCATTTTCAGTGGATATTCCTTTCCTGAAGCCTGACTGTTCTGAGGCTAGTATCTTATTACACTGCAAATACAGTGCGTACAATCAAGTGCGCGCCGCGGCTGCAATTTGCCGTGAGTCATACCGCCGCAGAACGGATGCAGTNTACTAGTGAAATTGGCCTGTAGTTTGGCATACTAGTTTTGTTCCCCTTTTTGTGCAGTGGTCTTGCTACTGAAATCTGAAGAGAAGCAGGGAAGATCCCTGTGCATAGTGAGTGATTACAAATGTGAGTCAATTGGTGACTGATTAGAGATGCACAAACTTTTAAAATTTTAATTGTTATTTGATCATAACCTGATGAGTTTTTTGCTTTGAGAGACTGTATTATAATTTTTATCTCAGTTTCAGTGGTTGCAATGGTCTTAATACCAGGGTATTCTATTTAAGCATCCTGTTGCATTAATATACTCTTCATTCACTCACTATACTTTCATCCATAATGCATCCTGTTTGTTATCTCCTCCGCACTACATGTTTCGGCTGTATATGGCCATCCTCTGGTGTCTGTATTTGATAAGACTGTTACACTGTGCAGTATCTACAGCTTCACCTATCACATGTGAATGTGATATCTCACACTTGAAATAAATGTTCCCTATTGAAAATCACTAAAAATCATTAATAATCAAATAATTCTTTATTAAAATTTCAGTATTTTTAGTTGGGGGCTGTTGTCCTTTTATCAAATTATTATTGTGTTTGGATTCATTTTGCAGTGGTATGGGTGTTGTGTATATGCAGTTCCCAGTTTTGTTGGTGCAGTGATTATATATGCCCTTTTTGACTGAGTTCTTCGCCCTGCCTGTTAGTAGCTTATGTACACATATAAAATGTATTTATGTGAAATCTATAATAAATTCTGTATAGGTAAAAATTTGTCATAAGTTTCCTATTCAGATTGATCTAAAAGGAGGAGATGCCTTATCATTTTTGCTTTTAAAATTTGATTTAGAATATGCCATTAGCAAGGTCCAAGAAAACTAGGTGGGGCTGAATTTAAATGGGATGCATTAGCTGCTGGGTTATGCTGAGGATGTGAATCTGTTGGGAGATAACACAGATACCATAAAGAAAAGCACAGGAATTTTAATTGACACTAGTAAGGAGGTTGGTCTAGAGGTAAATGCAGAGAAAACTAAGTACAAGTATAGGTTATCATCTTGTCATCGGAGTGCAAGGCAAAATCATGACATAAAGATAGCTAACAGATGTTTTGAAAGTGTGGCACAGTTCAGATATTAGGAAATTGAAATAAATCAAAACTTGATTTTGGAAGAAATTAAATTCTGGTAATGCCTGCTACCATTCAGTCCAGAACCTTTTGTCTTCTCACCTGCTGTCTAAACACAAAGATTAGAATATACAAAACTATAATATTGCCCGTGGTTCCTTATGGGTGTGAAACATGGTCTCTGACATTAAGGGAGGAACATAGACTGAGGGTGTTTGAGAACTGGGTGTTGAGGATAATATTTGGATCGAAAAGAGATGAAGTGATGGAGGGGGGTTGGATAAAACTGCATAATGAGGAGCTTCATGTGTTGTACTCTTCGCCAAGTGTAATTAGATTGATCAAGTCAAGGTGGATGAGATGGGCTGGGCATGTAGCATGAATGGAGGAGGAGAAGAAGATGAAGAATGCATGTAGGATTTTGGTGGGAAAGGCGGAAAGGAAGATACCACTAGGAAGACCAAGATATACATGGGTGGATAATATTAAGCTGGATCTTAGAGAGATAGGATGGAGTGGTATGGACTGGATTGTTCTGGCTCAGAATAGGGAATAGTAGGTGGCTGCTGTGAACATGGTAATGAATGTTCGAGTTCTATAAAATGTTGGGAAGTTCTTGGGAGCTGCACATGTGGCAGTTTCTCAAGAGGGGCTCATCTCCATGGAGTTATAGTTAAGTTTGATCTGTTTAATAAGCATACAGTTTATAAGCATACAGTTTATTTTCAGCTACCAAAGCCATGAATTCAAACCAAATCTGTCTTGGCTGAGACATTATTGTGGTTGAGGCTTCTAATGGATTTTCTCATTCCTTCCAAGAACACACTGGGATAACACATAAAATTAGGCCACAACCTTCCTAATTTATTTTTCAGTGTCATCCAGTCATTTGATGTTGTGTAGCGTGACGTATTTACATGTTCACCAAATTAAGTACACATAAAATAAATAAATGTAAACTAAAGTAAGTTATATATGGTACTGTGTTGGAAGTCTTAAGATTCTGCCTTCAGTCTTGTATCTTGTATCTTTATTTTCATTTCCATAGATCCTTACTGGCTACCAAAGCCATCGGATATAGAACATGTCACGATATGCATGCAGTTAGCATCCCCAAATTATTTCCGATTCTATTTACATTACTGTTGTAATGTTGATCAGATTTTCAGATTCTGTGCCTCACATGACATCTGCTGTCGCATTCCACGAGAATGTGATGAATGTTCTAACCACACTGAATGCAGTGTTACCATTTGGGAGCCATGTGATATTGATAGGCCTTGTTGATGGAGGATTCATCTATCCAACAATGGCAAATAGAATTCATCCACTAGGGCAGTTTCAAGGCAACATTCGCTATAATGATGTGTATGCCTGGTTCAATTGTATGGAGATGGGGCCTTGTTCTGCTTGGATGAATAGCAATGTAACACTTAGGAAGATGGCAACACTGGTAGGTCACATGTCTTAGTATTGTCATACTGAAGGAAAGTCCGTATGTCTGCTCCATTGCATTTGTATATTGAACTTCATTGTCTATGTCCCTTTTCTAACTTGTTTTAAAAAGATAAATCTTATAAGTAATGTCATTTACCAAGTTGGTTTTCATAGTTGTTTTGTATTCCAGAGGTGCTTGGTTTGAATCTCAGCTGGGATAATGGCTATCTTGACTGTGGTATTTCATGCTGGGGTACTACCTTGATTAGATTGTGACCTTCCTTCCACATCCTTTTCAGTTCATCATTCATCCATCATTTAGCATTCAACACTGTATAGCTTAGATATTGGTAGTGTCATGAAATGTGTGTGTTGTAGTCCTTAGTGATTTGTTCAGTAAATAGTAAAAGCAAATTTGCTCCTGTATTTTATGATATATATGGAACAAGAAGGTTAAGCTCCACACACATTTTAGACTCGTGGACTGAACAGTAGTGAATATTCAGCTCCATGTTCCAGCATATTATATCTTGGGAAAGAGGTCCTGATATTGTTTGTGTAGGGAGTGTGGTGCGCCACATAGTCTGAATATGGTTGAAAAGAGAAATATTGACTATCAGAACTCAAATCCTGTTGATCCAAGATTGGGCTGTCATGCTTGTAACAAAAATTATGCAGTGAAATCTGTTTTGTAAGTATTTTTTCCAATCTCATTTGAAGCCCAGTATAAGCAATATGTTACTTTTCCATATGTATCATATTTTTTTGACTGCACCTGTGGTTTAGTGGTCAGGGTTCCTGGCTACAGATCCAGAGGTCCGGGGTTCAATTCCTGGCACTACTAGATTTCCTGAGAAGTAGTGGTTCTGGAACGTGGGCCACTCAGCCTCATGAGGAAAATTGAGGAGCTGCTTGAATGGAAAAGTAGCGGCTCCGGTCTAGAAAAAAAAACAAAATTAACAACTGTAGGGATTCATTGCACTGACCACACTACACCCTCTATCTACTAAAGTTTGCACTAACTTTGCCGACAAGTGGCTGTCGCTCGGTGGGTATAGTTTGCTTGCAGGCTAAAGCCACACAGTTTGTTATGTATCATATTTCAGTTTAATAAATAGCCCACACATTTAGTGTAACAAATTTTCAACCTTCCATGGCTTGTACCTCAGTTTACTCTGATTGTTGTTGAAATAGCACTTGATTCTTATGCTTTATGTGCTGGAACTGCTTACCACATAAACACAAACTTTGATGAGAGATGTCACATATTGAACATGCACCAAACCATGCTGCTTGTTGCATCACTTTTGCTTTGATTCTCAGCTGAGGTTCTTTCATTGTTCATTTCTTTTGTCATTGTTTTAGACAGTAATATGATAATATTAATTATGTAATTATATTCATCTGTGTAGAAACAGTTCCTTTAACTACATGTGTAAAGAAATTATTTTGTCGTAATTATACGGAGCAGATCTTTTTCTAGGTCATGGACCTATGATTTTTCTCAATATTTATATCAAGACATAATATGATAGAAACTGAATATCTGACTAATTGAAATTTATAAACTTAAATAGCTATTGATTACTTACCTGGATAACAAGTTCATCTTTTATGCAGACTGAATATTCTTTACCATGTTCACAAGAGCCCATATATTAATAACTTCAGGAAAATGTTCAAGTTCCTCTTGTATATAATTTTTATCTGTGTTTTAATTCATTGCAACTTTCAGCCGATAATAGGAAGAATTTTGACCGTAACAAGTATCATCACAGCTTTGAGGCTTATGCTAGTATTACAAATATCTTTTCAAGCGATCACAACAGCTGTCAGTTGTGTTGAAGAATATAGCTGCCAAAGAACAGTTTGCTGCATTTTCATTACACTACTTGGACAACCCTGTGCTGAAAGTCATGTGGGGATGGAAACAGCAAGGAAAACCCCTGTGGCAACTGATTGACCCAGTGGACAGTTTGCATCCTTCCCAGGTGAGGTTATCATCAGCAGTTTATAGTACTTGAAGTATTGTTAACAGTTTGAAATACTTTGCCATATATTGTCATAGAGTTGAAAGACTTTGTTCAATACCAGTATCTGTATAAGATACTTTGTTATATATTGTCAGGAGTTTGTATTAATTTTTATTTGTTACAACACCATATCCTATTATGAAGATGTTGTATTGCCAGAACTTTCATTACTGAGATTCTATCCAGACATGAGTAAGAGATAGATAGTACATTAAAATGTAGGACGCTGAAAGATATAGAGATCACATGCAATTAACACAGCTGGGAAATAAGCGCTGAGTGGAGGGAAAGAACATTGATAGGTGCAACTGCACCCCTTTAACTGCAAGAGGCAATAGATGTGTGGGATGTCCATGTTCTAAGAGACAACCATGTAAAACTATAACAGTTGTATATATTGTCACGTGTTGGTGTATAACGCGACAAGTAACTTCACGCCGTATTTGGTATAGCGAATTTTATTTCACATTTGCACTTACAATCACCCAAATTACAGATTCACAATTACTGCTATCTGCAGTATCACAAATACTACACTTCAAATGCCACAATACAACTGACTGGTTGCTGGCTAACTCGGAACTAACTCGGAAGTAACTCGTAGATAGCTCGAGGACTAACTGTGAATAGCCTTCGCTGCTCCTTATGTAGCCTCGTTCGGACAATACAGAAAACGGCCACGTAATAGGCACCACTGTTGTCTGGTGCCGTCGTGCTAGTAACGCTGTGTACCGCTGTTACTACTGTCGTCTCTCACAACCACTGTTTACCCGCGCTGCCTAGCAACCGCGGTACCCCTTGGTGACGTCACCACTGTTGACTCGCGTTGCATAGCTACCAGGATGCTGGGACTCGGCTATCTTTGGCTCCGCTCGGCTCACTTCGGCTGGCGGGGGCGGTAGGGGCGTCATCCATAGCTCAACATGTCACACTATTGTTCTCAAATGTACAGAATGACTGGGAAGCCGTCTCAATATTTATATATTGTCATGTGTTGGGTATGTAATGCGACAAACAACTTCACGCTGTTCTGGATCTAGAGAATTTATTGCACATTCGCTCTTACACTTACACAATTTACAGTTTCACAACTACTTCTCCTGCTGGAGTCACTGCCATTCACTTGATACAACTCAACTCGTAACTGCTGGACTTCAACTCATACTGAGTACTGCTTGTAACTGCTCTTACTCAGTACTCTAGTAACTCTGGTTACAAAGTCAAAGTCACATTGAGACTGATGGTCAATCAGTCAGTAAATCTTGGTGTTGAGCCCCATCTGGGGCTCATGACCAGATATTAATTATTACCAGTTGACAATTACAGTCTTGTTTCTATGGGGTGCACTCTCTGACGAGAGGACGGGTCTGTCTTTTGTATATGCTGCTGGCCCTTCCAGCACAGTCTTTCTCTGGTCCAAGTCCCTTGGGACTCATGATGACATTTTACTGTCTCAGATTTGAGACTTCCCTTTTCGTCACCTTCTACGACTCACAGGGTCACGGTGGAGGTATTTGACCCCGCCTCAACACGGGGTTCTGGTTACACTGATAAATACTCCTCGTTATGTTGCTTCCGCACTGACAACACAGAAAACAGTTATGTGATAACTACCACTGTCGCGTGACATCATGTTTACTGATTGCCAAGCAACAGTCTGCATGGAGTCACCTGTTGCCACATAGTAACGGCGATGTCCCCTATTACATCACTGTGGGAAGTGCTGTTACGTCACCATGGGGGAGGGGGGTGTCCTGCATAGTGCAAATACGTCACAATATGTTGTTCACAAGTTTGCGGGCCCTGATAAGGGCCGTTTGTTCCGCTGTGCTTGTGCTAGTAGTAGCGTGGGCCTTCCTTAACGGTTGCTGAGCGGTTATGACTGGGCAGGATAGCGGCGAGCCTAGTCGGATAGTCTGGGCCTTCTTTATGGCCACTCAGTGGTTATGAGTCGGCATGAGAATGGAGTCTAGCTGGCCTGGTGCTGTAGTGCACATGCTAGTGTAGTCTGCTGTCTCAGTGTCGTTTTTGCTGGAGAACTGCTGCTTCATAACGTCAACATAGCTACGTTAGCTGTCTTCGGCAGAGTGAAGACGTTGAAGAAGAACTGATGATAGTGAGTTTTGAACTCTGCCTTTTATACCATGCTTGCTGGGCAGAGCTAGAGGTGCAGTTGCAGTTGTGAGCGCTGATTGGCCAGTGCCCACGATGACCTCCAGGGGGGGGGGGCATAAAGCGAGTGCTGTATAAATATGACCGTTGGTCGCAATGTGACATTGACGTGGCTTGAGCAGAAGTTCAGTGTTGTCTGTTAGACCGGCAAAGCTACGTGTTAGAATGTGGGAGGTTCCCACAGATGCTTTACAATGTTGGCAAAATAAACTTAAATATAATGAAGCAGTTTACATGTTCAGGATTGTAATATTTGGTATGAGTTCCCCATTTATGGTATTTAAAAGTCAAGACCAACACTGCAGTACTAAATCAGCATTATATGAAGCAGTACTGAGATGACATCCCTCTACTTAAATGAAGTAAGAACTGTGCCTTGAAGGCATATGGTGGAGTGAATATATAGATCCATGCATTCTTGACCTTGCCACTGATTGGAGGTGAGTGGTCAGCTTCATGCTTCAGCCAGTTTACCTCCTGGGGAAGGAACCCCCCAGTACCCTTTGGATAGGAGACTGGATGGGCCCCAGAATCGGGCTGGACCACATATAGAAGAGAAAATGCTTGCCTCTACTGGGACTTGAACTCTGACCCTTTGGTTGTCCAGCCCAGTGGTGTTAAAGGTATGCCACCAGTGATGTAAAGTTTTTTTTGTTTGTTTTTTTTCAGCTGGCTCAACCCTTGATAGCCAGAGTCCTATGGGATGACATCATGAGGAACTTCCCTGAAGCTCTTGGGGATGAAAATCCTAATAATCAAAGAATTGAGGAGTTGTTTGGAAATCAGGGTGGTCATTGAGTTTCTCTTCGTGATATTAAATACTAATGCATCAATTTTGTGAGATACCTTCCATAACAGAAGTAGGGAAGAATTTCCGTGTCTTTCAACTCTTTCAGTTCAACTATGAAACATGTGTTAAAACTTTTTATAAACTGAGTCATTTTGCTTTACAGCTTCAAATCTTTGGGTTCTAAGTATATGCTTGAGGCAGCCTCTAATATCAGCAAAGAAGCACATCATGTAGGGTTGCCAGGCATTCCTTATGTACAGGATTAATTTTCTTGGCAGGTTACTCCTCAGGACTGAATTATCACTAGGAGATACAGTCACGTATGCTTTTCTGAAGGCTCTGTATAGATTGCCATTGTACAAGCTCATGATGAGTGGGCGCATGCAGTGTTCTCATTGAACTGAGGTATTTCAAAGATGAATGCTGAATTTTAGATATCAACATCATCAGTAATCTGTCAAGATGACAGGTTCACAGTCTCTTCCAAAACAATTCCTCCATTTAATAAGATCTAGAGCTTTCTCCTTCAAATGACAGTATCCTCTTCTGTCCCCAAGGTCATCCAGCATCTTCTTACATCTTCTTCCTCGTCTTCTTGTCACTTCTATCCGCCCTTCTATCTTTCCTTTGATAACTTCTTTTAGAAGGCAGTTTCTGCATAAAACATGACCAATCCAATTAGCCTTCCGTTTTCTTATTTTGTATAGGATATTCCTCTGCTCACTGACTCTAATTAACACTTCTTCATTTCTCACATAATCGGTCCAACTGATCTTCTCCATCCTTCTCCAACACCACATTTCAAAACTTTCCACATGTTTCTGATCTACTGCCCTAAATGTCCATGTTTCAGCCCCATACAGAGCTATGCTCCAAATGTAGCATTTCACTAGTTTCTTCCTCAAATTTAAGTCCAATTTGCTGGTAAAAAGATTCTTCTTCTTGCTAAATGCAGCTTTTGCCATGGCAATCCTGGATTTAATTTCACTAGTACACCTTCCATCATCTGTTAACAAGCTACCCAAATATTTAAAACATTTCACATTCTCCAGTTGTTTTTGGTCTATCTTTATTGTGACTGGGGTTGGTTGTCTCGAAATTTTCATTACTTTTGTTTTTTCCACATTCATTTCCATGCCATAGCACCTTCCAATTTCAATTAGTCTATCAGTCATGCCCTGTAGCACAGTTTCTTCCTTAGCCATTAACACAAGGTCATCTGCATATTTCACAGTTTGAATAATTTGCCCTCCTACTTTGAAGTCTCCGAGCCCATCCAGAGCTTCCTTGGTAAGGCATTCGCTGTACAAGTTGAACAGAATTGGTGATAAACAGCATCCTTGTCGAACTCCTCTTCCAATCTCCACACTTCCTGTCTCCCCTCTGGCCAGTCGTACTCTAACTTTCTGATCCATGTACAATTTGCCAATCAATCTTCTTTCACTCCAATCGATACCTGTTTCTTTTAGGATCTGCATTAATTTGGTCCAGTTTTTAGATATACTCTTCATTTAATTAATCCCTTTTATTCATCTTTATTCTGTGAATTTAAAGAGTATTAAGAACTGAACAAAATCTTTATGTCATTTATGGAGACGGATCTCGTGGGAATTGGTTGTGATAATGTGAATTGAATTGGCTTAAAGTTTTTTCAGTGGTGTGCTTTCATGTTAGCAGTGTTTGCATTTGGGTTCTGTTAGCAGTAATTAGTTAATTCTGCCCCTTTGAAAAAATTGTGTGTTCGATATATTGAAATTTAAGATCTGGCAACCTTAAGTAAATGTTAAGCTTCATATTCCTAGTATTAGAGGAATGAGTTGAATAAAGTACAAAGTCTGTCTTTTGAAAAGTGAAGAAAAAATAATCATGGGTGACTTAAAAAGTGTGTGTTACGGAAAATGTAAGTTACACTCGTGTATTTATGTAGTAAGTCAGTAGTAATTAGGCTGTATCTCAGGAGTGAACAAATGATATCAATAATGTAAATAATAATCAGAATGCTGTAAGATTAACAATTATAAATAAGAAGGTAAATTATATATTTGTTTGTACTGCATTGTAGATTTTAACAAAGAGTGGAAAGTAATTTTATATAAGACTGAGGGAACACATAAGAGGCAGAAAAAAAGACCAAAGGGACAGTAGCACACAAACATACAAATGAAAAATATGGAAATTGTACTGCTTTTTTTTTTTTGTAGTTGCTTTCTGAGGCATTGTATGTACGTACATTTTTTATAGTACTAGAACGGGGAGTCTCCAAACTTTTCGAAACGCGGGCCACACTAGGTAATTCAGCACTTTCAACAGGCCGGATAAAATGAGAAATTATTAACTCTAGGTATATGAGTGTCATTGAAAGCACAGAATTTCATAAACTAAATACAAAGTATGTGAGAATAAATTATTGTATATTAATGACAACAGACAGTAGCAGCAAATGCTCGTATTTTCATCACAAATTATAATAAAACAATTAATGTGAATGATGGAACTCTTTTTGCATTCTTAAAATCTGATTAAATTGAGGTTCAAATTTTGAAACGCTAATCACAAATAGCGACTTTAAATGTTCATAGGATAAATTTGCCCTGTATTTTGACTTGGTGTACTTCATCTGGGAAAAAGTTTGTTCACACAGATATGTCATCCCAAAAATGGAGATAAATTTACAAGCAAATTTCTTTAAATTTGGAAATTGCTCAGAGTTCAGAAATTTATAAAATTCGATGAAATTTTTTCTCCTGTATTTGTCTTTAATATGTGATAATTTTCCTGAAGTTCAAAAATTTGCATTTGAATTTGACTTGGGACATCTGCAGCATCACAGTCAAAAGGATTTTGAAACAATCTAATTTCCTGAGCACTGGCATCCAAATCAGCAAATTGGTTCCGAAACTATTCTTTAAAATCTGAAATGACTAAATTTGCAAACGAGGAAGGAAATTCAGCTTCACCCGTTTTATGCAACTGTGCACAGTATAGCATATGAACAAAGTTACAGTTTTTCTCTTGGCTTTCCAGAAGTATCAACTTTGCTCTGTATGCCTTGATAAGTTCAAATAAATCACAGACTAAGTTATTTTCACCCTGCAACTTTAAATTCAAATTGTTCATATGGTTCACCAGATCAGCAAAAAATGCTAATTTCCAAAGCCACCCGGTATCTGATAAAAGTGGTTCGTGATGGTTTTTCTCGGTAAGAAATATATGAATTTCATTCCTGAGCTGAAAGAAGCGTGAAAGAACCTTTCCACAGCTAAGCCATCGAACTGCAGTATAATATGTCAGGTCAGTAAGCTCGGAATCACATTCCTCAAGAAAAGACCGAAACTGGTGATGGTTAAGTGCATGACAGAGAATGAAATTAATGATAGAAATAACAGGTTTTAAAACAGAGCTCATATCAACGTGTTTTGCACAGAGTGCTTGTTGGTGGATAACACAATGAAGAAACATTGGCTTTGATATTCCTGCATCCTGACAAGCTCTTGTGATTTGGTCAACCAAACATATTTTTATACAAGACATGTTTTTTCCTCCATCAACTATCACGCGCTGCAGATGGTTCCAGTCCAAATTATATTCTGTTAGTGTTGTTTGTATTTCTTTGAAGATATCTGTTATAGTGCCATGCATGCTGTGAAGTGACGCTAATTCCTGTGTGACATTAAGTTCATTGTCGACGCCACAAAAATATCCTGCATCCTCACAAGCTCGTGTGATTTGGCCAACCAAACATATTTTTATACCAGACATGTTTTTCCTCCATCAACTATCACGCACTGCAGACGGTTCCAGTCCAAATTATATTCTGTTAGTGTTTTTTGTATTTCTTTGAAGATATCATCTGTTATAGTGTCATGCATGCTGTGAAGTGATGCCAATTCCTGTGTGACATTAAGTTCATTGTCGACGCCACAAAAAAATCCTGCATCCTCACAAGCTCTTGTGATTTGGCTAACTAAACATATTTTTATACCAGACATGTTTTTTCCTCCATCAACTATCACGCACTGCAGACGGTTCCAGTCCAAATTATATTCTGTTAGTGTTTTTTGTATTTCTTTGAAGATATCATCTGTTATAGTGCCATGCATGCTGTGAAGTGACGCTAATTCCTGTGTGACATTAAGTTCATCGTCGACGCCACAAAAATACTAATAGTTGAGAGGTATTACAAACATCATTTGAAATCTATGAACAAGTATTTTTTTACCAGTACTCACTGGAAAATTAGTTCAGTTGGCGCATTTCTGCACAATTCTTTTGCGGGCCGAATAAAATCACATCGAGGGCCGTAGTTTGGAGACCCTTGTACTAGAAGATAAACATAAAATTTATATGGCGTAATTTTCAGCTGGCCAATGAAGATGTCTCTCATTTCTGAGAAGTGAAAGTTCTTGACCCTACCCGGACTTGAACTCTGACCCGTCAGTGGTCCAGCCCGTAGCCAGTCGCTATACCAACTACACTATCATGAAACGGAATAGAAATACATTTCACTTGTACCAATAGAACATTTGCATCAAAAATAAGTATACCAATACATTTCACTTGTACCAATAGAACATTTGCATCAAAAATAAGTATACCACTAAGGGCAATGGGGGCATGCGGTTATGTATTGGTTGAGGCACTATGCTACAAGCCAAAAGGTCGCAGGTTCAAGTCCCGATGAAGTCATTGGATTTTTTTCAATTTGCCTAATCCTTCTGGCTGCCCTATGGCCCTGGGGTTGACTCAGCCTCTAACAGAAATGAGTACCAGGAATTAATTAAGTAATTTTCCTTGGGGAGTAAAGCGTGGCCAGCGCGTAAGGCTGACAACCTTACCACCTTCTTTGAGCCAATTGTCTAGATATTGTGGGACCCACAATGTCTCACAATCCTATTGGCCTTCACGGGCCATTACAGGATGCAGCAACACTGCCTCAAATGCAAAGTAGGTAGCATTGTTGAGAAATGACAAACATTGATGAGTGAGAAGGCAGTCATAGCCATATTTGGCATTTGCCTGTAGGTACTGAGGAAAACCATAACAGTTTTCATTTAGAATATCCAGTCTGTTGGCTGAGATTTTGACAACAGAATGCTTACAGCTAGGCTGTAATGTTTAATTACTGTAATTTCTGTCAGAATAATTGTGCATCATTGTGGTTCAAAATATACCGATCTGAACAGAAGAATGGTGTTTTAATTTCAAAGTGGCATATTAGTTCCTCATTGCACATGTGAATAAACAGTCATTGAAATTAATAAATGAAAGAACCTAAGATCATGTTCCTTATATATTTCTGTGTTACTAGTCATTTTCTGTGATCTTAAATGTACAAAGATGTTCAAATTTTATTTTTATAATAATTATCCACTATTGTGGCTAGTGTGAGCTTATTTTGTTACATTTGTTGTTCCTGTGATAGTAATTATGAAAAGTATGGTCTTCTGAGATATGGTGCCTTCTAGTCCATAGGTTAGTAAACTTCTACTGGACTACATGGCGACACATCCCAAAAGATTTACTCTTCAAGTTATTTTGTTTGCACTGTATTTTTGTGTGATATTCTCCATCATGAATGATAATGAACAGTATGATGTTCTGGGCTGTAATGCTGGGTAATTTGGGGACAATCTGTTGTTTTTGAGCAACATATCTCCATCTCCAGGGTTGAAGGCAGTAAGTCAAGAAACCAGCAGATGTTTCGTTCTGCTAACGTGATATATTCCAAAATATTGGGATATCTCCATGCAACAAGGTGTTAGACCCTGAAGACTCAACTCTTCATGGACATTGCTGTGAAACCTCAAATCAGCATGAATTATATTGTTACCTATCACATTGTGTTACTTTATTTGCCGTGTTTATATGGATGTTCTGTAGGATGTTGTGAACTATTATTTATGGTGATATCTCTGTAGGTGTTCTTGATGGATTTGCAGATTTTCTTCAGTTATGGTTCTGTTTTACTACTAAAAAATTTTAATTTATCACATTTTTTCCCATAGTGAAACATAGAGCATTGTATAATTCACAATCTAATTATCTGCTGTATCAGTGAGAGAGAACAAAGTTACCAGCATATTAATGTATGTAGTATATAATTTTATTTCCTCAGTTAGTACATTATTTCCAGTGTGCTAGAGAAAAACTTTTGTTGTAAAGGGAACCAAAGAGCTCATAATATTTGTGTCTAATATGTGCATGGAGTTCTGTTTTATGATAATGTTAAAGAAGTGAATAATTCCACAGATTGTCTTATATCTTGTCCCCCCCCTTTTTTTAAGTTTCTAAACATTGTTATGTTGATGAAAGTCGTCTTATGGGTTTTGATGTGTTTTGATGATTATGGCCAGAGAGCCTATTTTGCGTTCTTTTTATTATCCTGGTTTGTTTTTATTTTTCGTTGTTTTGTTGGTTATTTTCTTGGTTTGTACTTTTGGAAGAGTGGGTTTGTTTTCTTTTTATCTTTTCTTTGAGAGTAGTCTTATCCCTACTGTTTTTATCATTTTGGGCTGGGGGGTATCAGCCGGAGCGTCTTCAGGCGGGGGTTTACTTGCTCAAAACTTACACATTATGTTATGTTGCTTGCTTCCACTGTGGTTATATTAAAGTTTGCTTTTGAAATCATCATACTTTTGGGTATGATTTCTGTTTAATTATTTTTGAAGAAATTGGTATATGTTACATATTTTGGGACTGAGTGCATATAATTCTAGATTTTTAACCAGTCTTTTAATTGGCCAGTTTTACTTATGCGGACTTTTCTATAATTAACTATTAGTCATTAATTTTATACAAGTTTAGGCATGTTCACATTTCTCTGGAACACCTGTTAACATTGCTCTGCCCAGCTGTGTATATGCATGTAACAAATGGAGAAGCATTGAATGGATTTTCATTAATTTTAAATTGGAGAGTTTTACAAAAAAATTGCTGCATTCCAGTTTTACTATAAATTGGATAAAACATAACATGCTTCCTATGAAGATGTATATATATTTCTGTGTGCATTTCAAGTGTCTATTGAATTATATTTCACTGAAGTCAGATTTGTTTTATTCTTTTGATGTAGTTCTCTGTTTGAATATGAGTTTCAAGCTTGTATTAAACAGTTTGTTTATTTAATTTTCTTTTAGTTTGTGAAATAAAGAGTGAACCCTTAATTTATAACTCTTTCTGTTGCATGTGCCTGTTAAGCATACACTGAGTACTTTTTTTTTATATATTATCATGTGATAAAGTGACTATAGACGGGGTTTGAATTGGCAGTCAGTTTTACTGGGCACTTACAGGTTGTAACGACATGTAACTTTAGCGCTGTTACTAATTCACTACAGCAAACACTAAGTCTTCTCAGTCTACTGTGTCTTCACCAGTTGTCTGGTAATGGCTTCCAGTGATGTAGCTTCCTCAGCTTCTATCAGTACGAACCCAACAGAAAACACCTTTTCATGCAGCTGTGATATTGTGCAGTCATGCAGTCGCCGGGGTGTACCGTACAGAAAACACTGCTTCAGGCAGTTCTTCTATTGTGTGAATAAATTTGCTATGCTGACATAACATTTTGTGTTTTTCTGTCACCTAGTAAAGGATGTCTCTTCTGGTATTCTGGCTTTCAGGGGAGATGCCACAATATTATTACAGGTGTAACCACTGTCATTGTCACTGCGGACAACAGAGAGTGGGAACAAATCAGGAAGAGCTACTTCATACAATGTCACAGTATGCTGTAATAGGTGTGATTTCATTTCTCTGGCCGAGTATCATTTTTAAATTCAATATCACCCATCATTTCATGAGTTGTATTATCATCTTCAAGTGTTAGACCACTTTGCTGGTTTATGTAATATATGTGTATATTCACAAGGAGGAATCTAAGTCTTTATCCAGAATGAAATAAACTTGCTACCTTATCCAGAGGAACTGCTATGCTTCAAATTGTCATTTCACTGTCTCATATATTGATACATATAATATTGTGACATGTTTATACAATATGTATAAAAAGTGTAACTTTCCTGTTTCCTACATTGTACCTAATAGAGAACACTCAGACTTTTATAAACTTTATCCTGTACCATTTCCTTTATTTTACCAATCATGGCTGTTAAAGTGGTGTGCAAGTACTCTGCTAGAATTTTTGGATGCAATTCAAATCCTTGTTACCATTTTTTAATTACATGAGTGAACATATTCTGAGCGGTAATAACAAAGGAAACCATATTTGGAGTAAAGAATAAGTTCTTCTTTAATTTAAATTCCATAAACCTTCCAGTGATGAGATTTTGTGTAATATCAAAGTTACTTTTGAGTATGATGAGCATTAAAGATAACTGGAGAAGCAGAGAATTTCATGTTCATTATTGTTCTGTTAATTGAATGAATCTTTTGCTTCATTATTTTTTACTTAAAAAATGGGAACATCTAATTTCATTCTGGTATATACTAAGCTGTTAGTACTTCCAAATTAATTTTGTACCGACTTTTCTAAAGCAGAAATTAATTTCTTAAAGTGTACATCTAAGCATAACATTCATAATATATGTAGGGTACATAGAACTGATGTAACACAACAACTGAAATCATAACAGCTTTATTTCATGTAAATTTATATATTACACTTCTATACTTTAATATGCCTAAGGAAATGCAACTTGCTACAGTAACTGCAGAAGCTGTTTATTTCCTATATAACAATTTGACATCAGTGATGTCCATGACTGTGATCACTGGGAGACATTGTTTCCCACACCTTTTCAATTGCAATTGTAGCTAGGAATGCCGCAAATCCCCACTGTATTCCACGGAAAAAGGTTAGTCTTGCTCTGTATCCCTCGGTTTTGAAAGCTGGTTGAAAGCGCCATACTTCATTCCTACATAAACAAATTACATTTAAATAGCAGTTATGACGCCTATATGAAAAAAAAACATGTAATTAAGATATATTTCAATGTGTTAAGGCAATAACTTGCATGCTGAAGGTAAGTATTGGTATCAGGTGTTCTGGGAAGTATAATGCGGCTGCTCTTCCACCTTCAATGAACAAGATGTTAACTTCCAGGAAACACTTTCGCTTAATTAAATAGAATATATCTTTCTTTTAAGGTCTGAAAAGTAAAGCTTGTAAGTTGTAACTAGACCTGGAATGGTTTTGTGCATGCTAATGTGGTGTGCGCTCGGTTATAACACCCGATGCCACTGGGGGGAAGGTAACACTACGATCTCGGAATATCTAAAAATGATAACATATCCAACACATGCGGATAATCACAATGGCCAATATCACCACGAAAAATGGACATGCACTTTATATGAATATAAACACACCGCAGCCACGGATCCTTCAATCCCTTCTGTGCCAGAGCCTTTTGTACTTTCACTAACTTCGGACAGTCTTCAATCTTGTAAATTCTGTAATCTGGTACTTCATATTTGTGATGTCCATGATCGCCTCCCATGTTTTCTGAAATTTGACGTCATTAATTATAAGTTGCAGTAAAATGTAAAAAATCTACTACTTTTCATATCCTTTATCGTCTACCCTCACCCTCTTTCTTCCCCAAAGCACTATTATTACACAACGACGACCTTACACCACCCTTCCACTGAAATAAACAACATAGATTTGGACATTACCAATATAACAACTTATCATTCCACTAACATCCAAATAATTTTCCTATTTGTTATAAAGTATTTAAAGATCCAACGTCAAATTTATAGGCAGTAATGCTTTTCTTAATAAATTACTCTTATGTAACCTAAAGATTAATTATAATTTGATCATATGCTACTCATACAGTCGTTCTGAGGTACAGTTGTATCCTATCAATGTTNGTGGTTTGTCTTCCCGATATTCTTTGGTGACATGCGCATGAACGAAAGATGGTTCAGTCCATGTCCATATCGTTCATACCTCCTGTTACAGTCAACAAATAGGAGAGTGTGGCTCAAGCGTTGTTAAGGTGTTCATTTTCCGTGGTTGTGAATGTGTATTAATTTAGTGTAATTACAGAGATGACATATATTTCATAGTATGAATTATTTGTGAGCAACGAAGGATCCGTAACTGTGTTAGAGGTTTTAATAATGAGACTGAACTGTATGTTGCTATATTTTGTGTTGGCGGTTATATGTTTCATTACACTTGGCGGACATGAGGTAGAAGAAACCACCAGCCCTGGTGAGTAAAGCAGGAGCGCAGCTTTTGGTTTAATGTATGATATAATTAATTCACTTGGCGACTTTGGATAGTCTTTGTGTCGGTAATTGGTAGAATAAGAGTCTTCACTTGTCAGGTCCGACTTCCACCCAGAATTTAGACGTAAAGTTCATTTTAATGGCATTTTGTATTATTTAATTCAGGCTTCCCAGAAATAAATGTACTTGTAGATCATGTAATCATTCCGAAGTTCATTTTGAATTATTTTAGATTGTTGAGAATGAATAAGCTCACCGAAAAATTTTTAGAGAAGCATCGGTTTTCCTAGAGATTCAGTATGGGTGTGTAATGTGAATGTGTACAAATGAATCCAACTATAGGCCCAGTGGGACATTGCGTATAAAGTGAGAGTGACTGAGTGAGTTTAGAGGGATACCCCAAGCACAACGTTGTCAAATTTCTTGGCGACCTTGAGGTGGTGTCTAATAAACGTCCAAAAATCGCCACAACAAGGTTTGCAAACACGATGCGGCCCTGTGTTTGGAGCTCTCGGCTATATTTACATTTTATTCACAGCTCTCAAACAAAGCCTGCAGGCTCCCTTCAAGATAACTGTCTGAATAGGCATATATCGCTGTGAATATTTCTAAACAAGCAATCCTTGAAGGAGCTTAATTTTTCATGCACAATTAACACTGCAGATTCACTTCAGTTGTTTATCTTATATAGTTTCGAGTTCTTGTAGTATAATGCTTGCTGATCAAACATTCCTCGTTCATTATCCCGAGAAGTTAAACGACGAACTACTGACGCATTTCTCTACGTGCGGCCAAGATGTTGTGCGGAGGAAAAATTCTGGCGTTCCGAAACATCGCACGTTAGATACAGCCGTTAAGCTGAGCGAGTTTGAACCCGGAATGATTCTTGTTTCTTCTCCTGAAACGTCATTAAGATCGACTGAAGTTCGACCCTCGTTCAAAACACTCCTATCCTGTAGATTATTGAAAGATTAACGTGCCCGTGCACAAAAATCTTCACCGAAATTACAGAAACTGCTTTTGTTGTTTGTGATGGCTGTGTACATTTAATGTATTTAGGTTCTTGCCCGTAAATTTCATTTTTGTGATCTTCGGAACTTAGTTATTGTTAAGATAGGCTGTTTTGAAGGAAACTGTCCCCACACTGTAACGGCACGCCTTTGGAATTTCACGTACATAAAACTGCAGTACACTATTTATAACGTTCGTACACAATTAAGTTATCTGAAAATAAATAGAAATGAAAGTACCCCACACCATAAACTAGCATAAACTTGAAAATTGCAATATTGTGGTATATAGCGCCGTGTTGTTCTTATATAAACCGACGTTTCGGAGGAACATATCACCTACATCTTCAGCATCGGAAATCAGCCGAGTAAGAAGCGAGCGAGAGCAGGTGGCTAGGCAGAATAAGCCGTTAGTCGGGATAACAATTATATAGGGATCAGAGGTTAAGAGGAAAGGAGGGACTGACAGCTTATTCTGCCTAGCCACCTGCGCTCGCTGGTATCTGGCTCGGCTGGTTCCCGACCCTGAAGACGCAGGTGATACGTTCCTCCGAAACGTCGGTTCAAATACGGACTACAAGGTGCTGTGTATGATTGGAATCCAGTTCCTTTGTTTGGGCCCCTTTGGAAACGTTTGACCTGCAATTTGCATAACGCGCTGTGCCTGGGCCCGGCAGTATTCTGTTGTGAGTAGTCGGTTGAAAGCGGAGGTAGCATTGATAGCAGGAATGCTCAGATTATGCTTCTTGAGTTTCCTGGAATTGAACTATTCCTTTTAAACGTTTTAAAATAATTTGTGTCGTTCTATTTTCAGTGATGAAAGAAGTGTAGTTAAACACGAAGTAAGTCCGCATGAATCAGGAACCTGCATTCGAATTTGCTTGGCAGTTGCAGTGTTCAATCCATCAGGGACTGTGCAATATGCTGATTTTAACACTGTCACTCATCCAGTTCATTTTTAACCTCCGGGATTCAAGTCCCGATGAGGTCATTGGATTTTTTTCAGTTGACCTAATGCTTCTGGCCGCACTATGGCCCTGGAGTCGACTCCGCCTTTGACAGAAATGAGTACCAGGAATTAATTACATAATTTTTCTGGGGAGTAAAGCGCGGCCGGCGCATAAGGCTGACAACCTTACCGCCATCTTTGAGCCGATTGTCTAGATAATGTTGGACCCTCAACGTCTCACAACCCTATGGGCCTTCACGTCCTGTTACAGGGATAGCTTTAGTTTACTTTTACTTATCATGGACTTTTAACCATGTCAGATAAAACACTTGCTGTTTCTTGGAAAGTAATTCGTGGCTTTAGCGAACAGCCGAAAACGTTCGAGATAGCGATCTCGGGGGGGGGGAGATGAAAGGGGGAGAGTATTTATTGAATTTTTTTTACTCATAATATGTGGCTCCTTTGGAGACATTTTAAATACATAACAAAAACCAAATTTGATGCGTTAAAGATGACCAGTGCTATGTTAAATCGTGAAATTATGCACTGAGAGAAACGACAGAAATCCACGTATCTTCTAAATTAACATTCTTATCGGCGATGCGACGATGCAGGATTCTAAAGCAGAAATAGGAAATCTGGCCTTTTATGCCATTTTGTCTTCTTGGCACACAGAAGAAACTGAACTGGCCACATCAGCTTGGGTATATGAAATTAAAACCGATAAGACTGCCCAGGTTATAAATGTTTTTCAGTCTTTTCGTTGCCTGCAGTGTGAACATGTCGAAATATACAGTATGGCCTTTTCTTGTCTGATATTAAGTTAAGAACATAGGCAGAGGGTGTTTGAGAACAGGGTGCTGAGGATAATATTTGGACTGTACTTACAGCACACCAGATACCAACTTTCACTGGATGCGTACAGCAGTTGTGTTGCTCTTCTTGCAATAGACTTCGACACCCCAATCTCTTGAGCGAGACGTTTCAGTGATTTTCTGGATGTATGTTCAAGTCTGGCCCCTATGTCATCTACCTTCTCAGTAAGCACTTGGCGCTTATGTTTTTTGTCTATTAAGAGGTTCGTTGTCCTAAGTTTATTCATCAAAGTATGAATTATTTGTCTGCTGGGAACTCTTATCACGAAATTTACGTCGAAATTTTCGCCGTCTCTTTCCAGCAGATCCGTATTTCACATAGGTATCATACAGAAATACGCGTTGCACAATGACGCATACTAACTCTGAGAACATATGACTAATGGAGCTGATAACTACTGCCTACTGCTGACAAATCATAAACAAACTCTCACACATGAACCGCACTGCTTGCCGTCACATATAATACCATCAAGCGATGTACAAGTTAATTACTTTCCCTCATTCTAAACGTTACCGGCCGATTCATCGGCAGAATTCGTATGTGGCTGGCAACAGGAGGCGCTGAGGCCGCCTTGAAGCACAGAGCTTGAACTTGTCAAATTACGAAAAACCTTCCTATATAATTACAGTGCTAAAGTCAAGGGGTGGGAATGGCAGGGCATGTAGCACTCTTTTGGCAAAGAAGAATGCATACAGGTATCTGGTGGGAAAGTTGGAAGGAAGCAGACCACCACTAGGAATACGAATCGTACATAGACAGGATGATAATATTAAAATGGCTGAGAGAGGATGGGGTGGTATGGATTGGATTAATCTGGTTCAGGGTAGGGACCATTGGCGGGCTCTTGTGAACACCGTAATTAAATTTCAGGTTCCATACAGTGTTGGGAAATTCTTGAGTAGCTGAGAAATTGGCGGCTTCTATAGAAGAACCTAGCTCCATGTAGTTCATTAGATTGGTTAGCAGTTTTTACTTGAGAGAAAAAGAGTCGAGTGCATTAATTTGATTTAATTACCACATAACAGAATTTTTTTGTATCAGCCAACGTAGTTTATGTTATTGCTTAATTAGATTATCTGTCCTATCATATCTATATCCTTGTTAGTAAGATGTTGGTACATTAGTACAAATATTATGTTTCTGGACATTATCCATAGTCCTGTCTTTATCTAAAATCACCACTGTCGAATTCTGGCGAGACCGCTACGACATCACCATCACCTCCACCACCACGGGAGGCCCCGTGTATAGACCTACACAGTAGTAATGCTATAAATGCAACACGTCATAATTTCAAGAAGGATCCCAGCACGGAGGTTTACCTCAAACACATTTACTACAACCTCAATGAAGTAGCGGTCACATGAAAGTCTAAATAAGGCCCATTAATATAAATTAACAGTTGTACATTTCTAATTTAAGTTATATTCAATTTTAAACAGCAATTATCTCCTCGAAGGACATCACGTGTCAATTTTTAATATCAGTACATTATTTGAATACTATAAAGCGTATGATTAGACTCCAAAATCTGTACGCTAGTGACAGACCATAACAACATACATAGTATGTATTCAGATTTACATAGATAGTAACATAAATATGAATAATATAGGTATATATACTATGTCCAAAAAGTATCCGACCTTGGGCCGGGAAAAAGGAAGTTCTATATCTGGGTGGTTACAATACCTAATCGCCTTCAAAGTAGGCCCCTTGTGACTCCACACACTTAGCCCAGCGGTCCTTCCATCGCTGGAAGCAATTCTGGAAGGTTTCTTTTGGAATGGCGTGCAGTTGCGCCGTCGCGTTCTGTATGATGTCCTCATGGCTGTCAAAACGACAGCCTTTTGGGGTGTCTTCAATCTCGGGAACAGCCAGAAATCACAAGGAGTCATTTCAGGAGAGTAGGGACCCTGGCGAACCTGCGAAATGCCGTGCTTGGCCAGGAAACCCTGGATCAGGTGTGATGAATGAGCTGGGGCGTTGTCATGATGCAGCTGCCAGTTGCGTGCGTCCCACAGCTCCGGTCTCTTGCGCCGAACTGCATCACGAAGATGGCGGAGGACTTCTTGGTAGTACTCCTTATTGACAGTCTGGCCTAGTGGTGCGTACTCATGATGCACAACACCCCGGTAATCGAAA